AAAGAAGTTAAAGAAAGTTCACAGAAAAGAACTGATACTGTAATACATTTAGAGCCTTCAAAGCCATTTCATTTATCACCTTCGACATTTCTTTCTGCAAAGAGAAGGAATTTCATGAAGAAAAAAATAAAAATAATCACTACTACACAGTCCTGCACTTTGCAAATACCATTATTTGTGCAAACAAAAAGTATCTAATTCTCTGTAAAAATTTGACACCAATTTCCACAATAAGCATTCTTACAAGCAATTAAAACTTGAACTACACTTGTCGGAGAAGTGCCTACAGTATACACCTGTGAACATTAACAACCACTTCCACCTGGCATGTTTGCTTTGCATTAATACTCTCATTAAGCCAGCTAAGAACATGAAGGCAGCTGTACCTGGGTTCTTCTAGCCAAGTACCCTCCTCTGCAACAAGGACCATAAGCTGACACCTAGAGATGACTAAAAACTGAGCCAATGTATATGGTACTTTCCAAGTACTCTTGCAGCCTCCAGCCATTTTCAACTCAAGCAGTTTCTTGATTCTAACATTCTCTATGTGTGTGTGTGTATGTATGTATATATATATAAAACACACTAGATATTTTCTCCAAATACTGTGCAGGCTCTGTGTCTCACATATCCTTTTTGCAAAACAGACAGTCTTTGGCAAGCAGTTTCACAGACTTACTAACATTTCTTATGTTTGTCTTGAACTCAGTTGCTACCATTTTTAATGACAATTTTATTTTCTATCATTCCTTTATGAAAAACTTTTTTTTGTTGTTATTTGCTTTTCTGGTAGCTATAGAATATAGAGCTGATGTTTTCATGCAATTAAAGTGTGCTCTGAATGGCAGCACACACTTTTTGTAGTTATGCCACCTCAAAAATGAAGTTTGACTTCCTAATGTGGTTACCAGTATATCATGGTCACTCTAAAGAGACCAACTACTTTCATGCCAGTGTATCTGTACTTGAGCCTGCTCTAATGGAATCACATATTAGTACACCAGTTTTAAACTGAAACACATAACGAGGCACAAGCCAGTGAGAAACCAGCCAAAACCAAACTATCATTTTAGTGCCCAAGAAACACTGGGGCAGAGCAGGAGACAACAGTACTGCTTCATCAGATCCCAGCTCTGCTGACATAAACCCCACCTCTATTATTAACACACTGCGCTTTTGTTTACTCCTAAAAGAGCTTGTATACAGTGCTCAGGCTCTAAACATATCAAATTATTAATGAAGAGTTTTTAAACCATCAGGCTGGCATTGAAAGTTGAGAAACAGTTTCTCCCTTAGGTTTCCATGGTTACTGCATCTCCAAAGCACAATTCAAGTCATAATTTGCTCCAGGTAGCTTCCCAAGCTGCCACGGAGGTATCATTGCCCTTCATGCAAGTGCACGGCAGGGACAGCCATTGAGCCCTAACTCCTCTCAAAGGTGTTTCAGGCAGCATCCCCAGGTGGCTGAAAGGTGTGTTGAGCATGCCTTGCAGTGAAGTGAGCTGCCACCTTCTGGGATACAGCCACTGATGGCTCTTCTTATAGAGTTCAATGGGACCCACATGGGCTTTTGCAGCCTTCAGGGCAAGTGTTCAAGGCTCAAAGTTGGCCTGGCAGGAAGCAATGAAATCCTATCTGTGGCTGAATCTGCTTTCAACTAAGACATGCTTACTGATGGCTCTTAGAAACCTAGCATTTTCCAAGAGAAAGCACAAGACAGTGGATCACATCACAGGCCCAGGTCAGTGTCCTCCCATGGCTGTATCTGACATGCACAAAGGCCCTCAGGGCATCACTGTATTTCTGCAAATCCAGTGCTAAAGCTCCAGAGGATCTGACAGGCTAAAGCCAATGAGAACCCACTTAAAAAGAAGCACAAAGAAACATGAGACACACACAGCTTGTAAAATGCACTTTTGTAAACGTAGCTGGCAGATAACAGAATAATAAGTGAAGACAACAATAACTGTATCTATATAAAAGTCTTTAGAACAGCTGAGATGTTTTCCAGCTACCCAGTCCCACAGATAATCCTGCGGTAACAGAAATCACCAAGGAGACAAGTCAAGCCCACAGGATAGGAGCCTGTGTGGCAGAGATGCAGACAGCAGTGCATTATAGACTAAAGCTCATAGGAATCAGCTAACTTAAACAACGTACAGGCAGCATTGGTCAACATGTGCAACATGCCTGGGGCTCAGTCATGAGATGGAAAGTAAGAGCTCCAGCAGATCAGTCTACAAGAAACAGACCTAAACACTGGTGCTCAAGAACGTAGTAATTCTGTTACGCATTCAGGTCTATATTCTACCATCCCATCCCTCCCCCAATAGGGTGTCCCATACCAGGAACCAAAGGGCAGCATCCAAAGCGGATCATCACCTTATGAAAAACGATCACACACAATGAAGCCATACAATCCAAAAGTGAAATGCAATTTCAAGTTTCCTAAATTCAGGTATCTTGAAAGGCCAATTGCTGAGCTCTGTCAGCTAAAAACAAGGCTTTCTTAAGCTCCTGAGAGTCTGGAGGCTGAGCCAGTCTTTATTCATTTTTCAGGATCATGGGCTTAAGGAACTAATTCAGACTGAAGGAAAGCATGCTACCAAAGAAGAAAAACAAGGAGGTAAAAAACACCATGATTAATAAACACAAAACATAATGTGAAATTTACTTCTTCCAAGCACTTTACTACACTCAGTTAAAATGCTTTAATTTCTGATCAGTCTAGCTATGTTTATCTACAAACATATAAAATGACATTATATGTCCCTTCTGGTGGATAAAAAGGCAAATAGTTAACAGCATGCAAAAATAATCAGGGTAGCAAGCGGAAAAAGCTCTTTTCTACTTGAATTTACACATGGAACCTAGAAAGAGAGACTAATTGCTCCCTGGGACCCTGTGATTAGCTAAATCTGACTTGTAAACAGCTGCAAGATCATGATATCAAGGAGTGGGCACCTCTGTTTTCTGTCTCACTGGCTGCTTGAGACACATTTTTTCCCTGATTTGAGCTGATTGGGCCTCTCATTTACCAATTAGGGGATGAGACTGAACAGGGAGAACAGAGGATGATTAAAAATCTGCTCTTTGCTATTTCTGCAACAACTGTGGACCATTCTCTTCCAAATTAAATCTGGCTTCTGGCTGGCAAGCTAACTGGCAAACGCAATCTCATTCCCCGAGTGCCAGAGTGCATCAGCTGTACATGAGCCATTTGTGGTTCATCTGCAGGAAACATGACATGCCAGTTGCTTTTGGGTGGGCTGGGAGGAGGATGCAGCACCACCAAGAAGCACATCACTGAGCTTCTCTACTGCTCCCACCCAAGCAGATACGGTTTGGGAATCTTATGAGACTGTGCTTTAGAAAAACTTTGGCTATTTACACTGCCTCCTAAACTTGCTTTTGTCAACAGGTCTGGTTATTAAAGTATTATTCTTTAAATGGGAAGACAACAGCAATGAAATCTTTTCACTGTTTAAAATAATTATAATGTAATCAAGAAGTTCTGGCAGGTGATGTTGTGGGAAGTGTTCCTTTTCTGTTTGTCCACTCAACCTCTTGAGCTAGACTAAACCCACAAGACAAGAAGAATGCTCAAACATAGCTATTTAAAACTCACTCTGAGCCAGATAAGTAAAACACACATCCACAAGAAACCCATGCTCTCCATAGTTTAATTCCTGGGCACAGGCCTCCCACAGGAAGGCTTTAGGCCAGTTTCATAACCTTAGTCATTTTATAATCTCTATCTTGGGAAGGAAATGGTACTCTCAGGAGAGCTCTCTTCAAAATAAAACATGGGGTTTTCCCTGAGTAATTGTGTCTTTTTTAAACTCATTTTCCAGACAAAAAAAAAAAAAGTCATATTGCATTTTATGATGTCAGATTTTTTTCAGCACGAGAAAATACTTTCTATGAATAACAGCACAGAGGCAGCAATGCCAACCAGAATTACAGGTCACTTCTCTAGGTTTAATTCAGTGAAAAAGTGAGCGGAACAACCTTACTGCAGTAACTGAGGCCTGTTTGTCCCTCTCCAAATTGTCCTAACTAATTTGTTCCAGTAAGTGTCATAACTGGTAAATTCAGTTCGGGAGAAATTCAGGAGGAAACTGTTCACAGTTACCAGTGCAGATTAACACAAGTCACACAGTTGCAAGGGGAAGCTAACAAGGCACCTGACTGTATTATGCTTGGAGTAAGCTGGAGCTGTCAGTCTTCCACTCTTGAGTACCTTCATTTGAGAGAAGCACAAGATCTTGAGTGCCTCTTGTCCTCTGTGATTGCATCTGCACTCCAGTGCTGCCATCCTCTTGGCGTTTCACTAAACCCCATGATCACTGAGAGCTTGTTTGCCATTTTCTTGGCATATGTGGGGTCGACCTAGTTTTATTTTTTCAGCCCTTGCTTGCCTTGCTGCAGCTGAGAGCGGCTGCACACAGATACTGCCTGACGTTGTCAACAGAGAAATTATGTCAAACACTGGTACCCGTGCTGTTGACTGCAGCTTAAGCCAAAAACTGCACCAAGTGGCCTGACTGCACAGCACTGAATTAAAATGTTGCACTTACTCATAAGCTTCTTTGGCATTAATATGAATAACATGGCAATAAGCCTGTATTTTATATCCTGTCATTTCACTCTGCATGACTAGTACTGTAACTTTGTATGCTCCCACTACACTCATACAGATTACATTTACAAATTGCCCCTCTGAATAAACAGCACTGCACAGGGATGACAAGTATTGATTTTCAATCTCCTTCCAAAATGACTCTATCATTGCAAGTAAGTCAGGCAATCTGCCTCACTTTACACTTTAGACTATAGGCCTCAGATCACACTGACAGGCCTGATCCTTCAGGAGATGTTTAATTAGAAAAGAAATGAAAGGGATTACTGTAAATCAGCATTTAGGAGTGCTATAGAATTTGCAACGCCCCCCCCCCCCCATTACCTACAAACTGTTTCATTTATTCCCTTATCCTCACCTGGAAGTGTGAGGTGGTTGTTTCACACACAATTCGAATTACTGCCTTTCCTCTAGGAAACACCTCAGCACATCCAACCTGGGTTTTGCTCTTCACCGACATGAAGATGGGGCTGGCACGGGCCCACCTTCCCCACCAGCGAGAGGGGCCAAAAGTAACGTGCATTTGCCTGGCACTTCTACTTCCTCAGCTACGTTTAAACCTAATTAAAACTAACACGCACTAAAAATACGTCTTACTTAAGAATTACACTGCAGTTCAGTGCGGTATGTGCTCAGAAATCCGATAAACGCTGCTCCTGTAGCCCCGTCCTCTGGAACAAAGGCTCCCTCCAGCCTCAGGGCCCAGATGAAGCCATTGGCTGAAGTTTCTTCTACCAACAACTACATTTTTTGACGCTTTCCGAGCCGTTGTAGGTGCGCCCGTCTCTTCCACTCACACATCAGGTTTAGATGTGCCCTTCCTCTGCCCCCCGCCGTCTCTGTCCCCCTCTCCTCACGCAGCCGCGCTCCCCGCCCGCCATTTCCCCTCACCGCACAGCTCGGGAGCCCGCCCTCGCCTGAGGAGCGCGGCGCGAGCCGGGCCCTTCCCGCCCGCCGAGGCCCCGCCATCACCGCCCCACAGACGACGCCTGGAAGCGGGGGAAAAGCCGCAGGGTCCCGGCCGAGCCCGGCCTCGAGCGGGGTGCTCATGCTGGAACCTCTCAGCCACAGCCCCGATTACCTCCGGCGGGGGAAGGGGAGCGGAGCAGCAGAACTGCGGGTGCTGCTGAAGGGAACAGCGGGACACGCCCGGGCCCCACCGTGCTGCTGAGGGGAGAGCCGCGCTCACCTCCTGCCGCAGCCTTCCCGAGGCCCGGCGGCCGTCGGAGCCTGCCGCCAACGGGACAACACACTGCTGCCCGGCCCACGGGGGAACAGCGAGACGCCGTGACACGGGTAAGATGCAGCACGATGCGCTTTCAGCTGCTCCGGGCGGGCTTTAAGGGCACGTACCCTCCATGAGGCCCGTGATAGGACGGGGAGGGTGTGATCGGCAGCGCCCTCCGCCCCTTAGAACCCACGGAGAAACCCCCGGCCATGAAGGGGATCCTCCCCCGGGGTACCCGGAGCCTTGTGCTTGCACCCGCGAAGGTAATTTAGTAAACCGAGTTGTGCCTCCGTTGAGGGGTACCTCGGGCATCCTAATACAGCCCCAGTACAGGCGAATGCAATTTATAGACGGACCTGAGCTGCGTAGCGGTGGTTCCCCACGGCCAGCACTGCTGTGAACCCATCCCAGCCTGCTCAAACGTGCAGATACCACGGTCATGCATCCACTAGAGAGTAGGTAGCACCTGGGCACCAGAATCATAAAATCATGGAATAGTTCGTGTTGGAAGGGACCTTCATCCTCCCGCACAGCAGCGCGCGTGGTGTGCACTTGGTCCTGGGATTGCAGGGCTTGTGTCCGCTGCTTCACTGCAGTCCAGCTGCACATCAGGCTCTGACAAACCCCCCCCCCAACAACCAGGCTGCCTCCGGTCGGAAATGCCCCCAAAGCAAAGTGCCAGTTCTTGAAATGTGCCCATGCAGGTGCCACAGCTGGCACAGGATGGGAAATCCTGGATATGCCCTAGGTTCACTGGAGTGTTTCTCATAGCAAGTCAGTTGGTGCTTGTGTGAATGATGTATCCATCTTATCATCTGAAAAGGCTACAGAAATAACCTCTGTGCCTTTTAAGTACTTGTTAAAAAAGGAATATCTGTAAGCTAAAGAGAAGGATGTAACATCTGTGACTCTGGAAGAGGTTTTAAAAATTACCTGCTGTTGGAATGCGGTAGGGAGGAAAAACCCTCCTCCAGTTTTATTAAAACTTGTTACAAATGGTGAGTGCAATCATCCATCACCTTGTATAGATTACTTTTTCTTCTTTAGTGTGAGAAATGAAACCACTTGTTTACTGTAGCACTAATACAGGGAGAACTACTTTCAAAGCTCCCAGCTGTGCCCCTTCTCGCTATGGAACAGACAAAAAATAAATCACAAAAAAAAGCCAACCAGCAGGTCCAGATCAGATAATCACATAATCACAGACTGGTTTGTGTTGGTAGGGACCTTACAGCTCATCCAGTTCCAACCCCTGCCATGGGCAGACACACCTTCCACTACAGCAGGTCGCTCCAAGCCCTGTCCTACGTGGCCTCAAACACTGCCAGGGATGGGCCAGATGCCAGTGGTCTTTCCTGTGCAAGACAAAAGTACCTGAAAGAGGGGACTGTTGTATGAGTGCTTTTCAGCCTTGCTGGCGCAGCTTCCTCAACCATCTCAGGCTGGATGGGGCTGTGGAGGATGACCAGGCTCCAGTGTTAAGAGACTGTTCTGCGACTCTGTTTGAGTCAAGGACAGCAAAACCCAAAACCCTTCAGGTTAATTTCTGGGTTTGCTGCGTAAGTCAGGAAAAGGTCATTTCATTTTTATAACTGCATAGAAAATTTGAAACATCTGGAATCTTCAGTATTTCTTTGAACACAGTGTTGTTAGTGTAAGCTCAGTCGAGCCTACGAACTTCAGTGCTTTGCTGTTAATTGGGGTCGCTGAGGTCATCCAAATGACTTGGACTTCTTCCTTCGGTGGTGTGAGGAATTCTGGCTGCAGAACAGCTACTTGCTATTTACAGATACGGTTTGCCAGCTGACTACAAAGGCTTTTAATAAATAGATTGAGTGTTGTTCTAAAACATGTGATAGTGCAGCCCTGAACTGTTGGAGTCAGAGGAGGTAATAGTGGGTGGATATTTTTGCCTGAATGGTTCAGGAGTTTAGTGAAGAGAATCATTCTCTAAATAATAATAAAAATACAACACTGTGAACTACTCTCATCTACTTCATGATTAAAATACAGTTTTCTACTCAGAATTCATTAGAACAAGAACCAGACCACAGGGTGAACCTTCTGTGCTTTATTACTACCACCATTAGTATTTTCAGAAATTTCCAACTGCTTCAACCATTTGTTCTGGCACTAAAAAGTAAAGCTTTGATTTCTAGTGGTCTCAGCTAAAAACACCAAGTTGTTCTGTGAACAACAGAGATAATGGAGTCCGGTTTCCTATGAAGTTGAGCTTTTTGTTCCTTTTTTTTTCCTTTCTCTTTCCACACAGAGTAACTGCAGCCTCCTTGTGTGTCCTTTGTGATAGACACACTGAGCAAGACAGAGCCAGAAGGCGACCCCCAAGCAGAATGTGTAACAACTGAGATCTGCTTGCCTTTTCTCTGGCTGAGGTGCTCAGTTGGGTCCCTATTCTAGCTAAACACTAACTGCTATAAAACTTGTAGGAATATAAATATCTTTGAATTGTCTGTACCTCTACAAAATTTGTTAAAATAGGCTACCAGGTTCATTTCATAACTTTCTAGGGGGTTGGGTTGGTTTGGTTGGTTTGGATGAGGTCATAAAGGTCTGTTTTCTTCAGGAGATTAGGTCCCTGAATTTAAATGGCTCAAGTTCCTAGTCATTATCCTGGGAACTTCAATCGTATTTTCAGGACATTCAGGAATGAATAATGCTTCCTCACTATCAAACACTGGCTTTACACATGGGGCTTAAAGAAGCATAATGCACTGAAGGGAGCCCACAGTGTGGCATAACTGAACGATCAAGCATACACAAGAGTTTTACAGCCTGGGGTAAGAGGACGATGCATTTGATCTCTCTCCACAGCTGTGAAGGGCTGCTGAGGTAGCTGGTACTCACCATCTACTTCTAAAGGGATCTGAAGTGCCTAGGACTGCACAGTCTCTCCCACAGGTAGTCTTTGTGCTGGGTAGGGAGCTCTGCTACTCAGCATTGTCCTCAGCCCCAGCTTGCTGGGAATTGTTATTGCTGCAGAAGCTACTGATGGAGGGATGCTTCTTGCTTCTGATGCAGCTTCTGGTGATATTTTAGCTCTTTTAGAAAAGAAGCAGCAGCCTTCATAACTCCCTATAACCAGAACAAACTAATTCTCTGTGGGTCTCTTTCACACTGTGTCAGCAGCTTGCCGTCTCTGACAAGACTGGCCACACTAGGCAGGTAACATCAAGGTAGTTCTCCTGTTCAGACATTCCCAAGCACCAGTGCAAATACTATTGCAAGTTGCAGAGAACATATGATTTCAGTAAAAATACCACAGCTTCTTTCATGGAGATGAGAGCTGAGGGGTCCAGCCAAGTGCCCTTCCTCACTTGCACTCCTTTCCCAACTGGGCTGCTACCATGGGATGGTTCTTCTCCCTATCCACTGGCAAGTACCCACAGAGAGCTCCCCTTCTGCTCCCTGTTCTCAGGGCTCTGGCTTTCCAACATTACAATAACAGGCAAGGAATAAAAGAATAATCAAATCTTGGCACCTCCTTAGGATTGTCTTTCAACAGATCTCTGCTGTGCTATGTGCAGCCTGTGATTATGAAGTCATTTTGTACTTTCAAGTATTTTCTGTTAGAAAACAAAATGCTTTAGCCAGTAACTTATTTTCAAGTGTTCTGTAATTCTTAATACATTTTTATTTAAAAAACATCTACTGATCTAAATAAGCCAGAATAGAGGGCTGAATTTTCAGTGCAGAAGTTATTTATATATGCTGCAAAAGAGATTAGAATCATGCTTAATATAAATCCCTTTTCTCTTTTTAAAGCTCTTATGATGTAGGTACAAGCTGTACTATACAAATGGGGAAAATGAGGACATGGGGAAAGTAAATTACTGAAGACCATGCAAAATTAGCAGTAGTACTGATTATCACTAAGTATTCTGTTGCCGTTATCTGAGGAAGGAGGAGGAAATAGAAAGTGTATATTCATTTCAAAAGCTTCAGATCACTGAAGAAGTAAAATGCTTTCTGATTGCCTGGCAGGAATGACTGTGGAGGGCATCGCTGTGACTCCTTTGTTGTGTGATAGTTCTTAAATTCCATTACTCATGCTGCTATTTTGGTTGTTTCTTGCCTAAATGCAGGCCCTAGCTCTCAATTCATAGAATCATAGAATAGTTAGGGTTGGAAAGGACTTTAAGATCATCAAGTTCAACCCCCCTGCCATGGGCAGGGACACCTCCCACTAAACCATGTCACCCAAGGCTTTGTTCAACCTGGCCTTGAACACCACCAGGGATGGTGCATTCACAACTTCCTTGGGAAACCCGTTCCAGTGCCTCACCACCCTTACACCCTCCTTATATCCAGTCTAAACTTCCTCTCTTTAAGTTTTAACCCGTTACCCCTTGTCCTATCACTACAGACCCTAATGAATAGTCCATCCCCCAGCGTCCTTACAGGCCCCCTTCAGATACTGGAAGGCTGCTATGAGGTCTCCACAGTCTTCTCTTCTCCAGGCTGAACAGCCCCAACTTTCTCAGCCTGTCTTCACATTGGTGGATCACCAATAAATGAGGTGTTGTGGGGCACAGGCTGCCCAGGGGCCCCTGACTAGCTGGGATGGCTTTTGGGGATGAGCCATTTGGGCTACGGACAGCCTGTTTTATTTCCCTGTAGAGCACCATGCACAGTCCTACCTGCACCCATCAGCCAGCACCTTCACTCTTTTCTTTTCACCCCTCCCCTTATTCCCCAACTCTGCCCCTTCTGTACCAAAATAAGTAATAATTTCCAGTCCCATTTCAAAGGGATGTAGACCTTATGCTACTTCCTTACTTCCCAAGGTAACGTCTGAGGGAAACCTTTTCATTAAACCAATTTCAGCATGCTCTATTTAGTCTTTCAGAGATTCTGTGTGTGAGAAGGAGACAAGTGACACAGGCTATTTATTGAACCAGTCCAAAACACTGCAGAATTAAGTACTGAAAATGTTAACTTAATTGAAAGGATTAATTAGATCTGTGTAACTCTGTTCCTACTGAATAATGCATGTGACATGAGGGGAAAGAGGCAAGTATTTGGATGATGGAAGAACAGCTGGTTCCTAGTTGCTGGTTACTAGTTGCTTACCACCTGGTAAGCGATCAGCACCTTAATTGCACCAGTTCATTTCCCCCAGAAAGACCCCACTTCTTGTTTTCAGTTGTTTTCCTCATTAGTTTTGCAGTTTCCGTTTATACTTCCTCCCTGTTTTGGGCAGTTTCAACTGATACTCTTCTCAAAGCCCACCAGCCCTCTCACACCACTCCAGTATGTTTCTAAAGACGAAACCTGTGGAGACTCTTCAGTCACAGGTTGTACTGGAAACCCCTTTTCCCCTCAGTAGCTTATTGCCCTGCTGCTTTGTCCCACATTACTGCTCACCTTAGCCTGTGTATTTGGGATTCTCCCTCCTGTCTGGTGAAAAGGTTTGCTAGAACTCCAGCTGCACTTGAGCCTGTGTGGTCTGAAGCAATCATTTTATTTAAGCTGCAGTTTAAAAATAAAATCCTCTACGTAATAATTAGAGTGTTGCATTAGAAAATACTGGATGTCTACATATTGCATACATAGACTACTCTGCACTGAGAGCTGCACCATCTGCTCTCCTGCTCCTTGTTCTTACTCCTGCAGACATTAGATAAACATGTTGAGAGAGCAGCAGGCTGTTTTCAATCATGACATATCTGAGCTGTGTTTAAAGTCAAAAGCCTTTATTTACAGCTCAGTGAAGAGAGAGGACTCATAATCAAGGGCAATAAACTAGATCCATAGCAGTTTAATGGTTTAAAGGGATGGCAGCCATGTATGTCAAGCCTGTCACTTCTTTAAAATGCAAAAGGCTCCAAAAGAGCAGAGAGGATGCAAGGCTTCCTGGCTACCATGAGATGGTCTTCAGTGCTGTGGGTTGGGTTTGAAGGCACAGCAGTGGGGCAAATATGCTCTGCTTCTCATGGACGTCATGGAGTGGCCTGGAAAGAAATTCACTGGCTTTTACCCAATGCATAGTGCTAAAGCAGCTTGAGATGTTGGCAGGAATTCTCGAAGGAGGACTTTCCTCCCTGGGATAAGTGGCCACAGCTGCTCTTAGGAGAAAAAAAAAAAAAAAGAATTTCAGGTCTTTCTACATGCTTGGAAAGGAAGGAGAGTAATGAAAGGGCAGGTTTATTGGCAGGATGGTCCTGTAACGGCCTAGAAGTCAATCAGTCTGTCTCATGCTTCACTGCAGAAACCCACAGAATTCAATGTCCACCTTTGAACACAAAACCAGTCTTGATCAACTGACTTAGTCCAATACCAGCTCAGAGTACTTACAACAATGCTGAGTAGCTACTACATCTCAACCAATAAGCTAAATCCTGTCTCAGTCTGGGCACTGAGCCTCCATAATGTGAAGACATTGTTGTGTTAACTCTCCAGTGCTGTGAACCCAGGAATGGAGATAACATCAAAACTTACATATGTTGGATTGGTTGATTCATCCTTGCAGGAGTTGTGCCTCTGCGATGCAGTCTCCTGGTTTAGAGCTAGTGCTTATACCAAAGTAACTGACTGGTTAAACTGACCCAGGATAAGTCTCCATAATACAAACTTGCAAAAAATCCCAGAGCCAGGTTTTCAAGCTGAGGTTCTCCAGCCATGTGTGTGCATTTTCCCCTGCTCATTCCAGCAACCTTTCTAATTTTACTCGTTTTCTCTCTGATCCTTGGAATTCAATTGTACTGATTTCCTGAGCATTAAACATACATGAATGTTCCTCTAGTCTGCTTAATGGCCCTAGCAAAAACTGTTTCGACTCATTGGCAATGCAATTGGAGCAGTCACTGAACACATCTACTCTTTCAGGCTTGGATGTTGGAAACTGCTTTTTTTTTCTCACAGTGAGTGAGCATGCAAAGTTATTATATTAGAAATGGCTCTGAGAAGTGACAAATGGGCTTCGAAGTGCAGCATAATGATCACTACAAGATGGGGGTGTATTTTGTTCTTGAACTGCTGTGCACATTTTACTGAGATGGGAGTACAGATCCCAGACAGTGAGGCTTCAGTAGCCAACCCAAACCGAATTTGGGCTTTGGCAATGAGGCATTCTTAAAGTCCCGTATCTCTAGGATGGTGCTAAGAAAGAACAATGTGGCTGAGGTGGATTGGCAAAAAATGTTTCAGAAAAGCTAAAGATGTAGAAATCTCCAAGCCTGAAGCGTATCACAGCTACAGCCTTGCAGTTCCTGGTGGTCTAGTGGCTGTCGTGTTGCAAAATCCCAGGAGTCTTAATTCAAGTTAATGTTGGATTGACAGCCAGTTTCTAAATTCCTTCTCAGTTTCTGTGACTGAAGAAGCTGTTCTTGCACCAAACACAATGTACTACTTACACTTTTGCCAGAGATTAATAAAATGGCTCTAGTAACTGAGTCATAACATGAACTGCTGAAGATGCTGATTCCTTAGATGGGATCTACTACTCAGTCAAGCTGAGCAAAGTTTCTTCACTCTGTTTCAGGAACATATCTGAAGCTGTTCCCAGCTGACTTCTGCTCCCTACAGGTCTACCAGTGCCTCTGTCTAGGATTTTTCTGCTCTTGAGCTTCATCCACAGAGTCTTCCGCTACTTCTCTGCAATCCCAACGTCCTTATCTGATTACTAAAGGAGACAGGGGGGAGGCCATAAAAAGCCTCTCATTGCAGTTTCAGAATGGCACAGTTTTCTTCCTAACCTCTGTGTACTATCTCTATTATTATACACTGCTGAGGGTAGGCATTGTCAGCATCAGCTGGGAGGTCCTGCACTGTAGCATGTGTGCATACAGAATCATGCCCTGGGTTCACTTGAAGCCAATGCACAGAAAGGAATAAAGGAAAACTTTTCCCTTTATCCCTTCCTAATGGTTCCTATTCCTAGTGTGACTAGCTGAGAAGGTGGGACTCTAACAAAGTCATGCTCATCAAATGCAGTGCAGGTAGCTGAGGGTTAGATGACACACTCATGACATGGACTGTGCTCCCCAGAGTTAAAGCCTCAATTGTCCATATTAGTCCTCTGAGAGAGGAGAACTCATCTTTGCCTGCAGAGGAAGAAGTGTAATGCCCTGTGTCCAATTTTCTTTTCATTGCTGTTTTTATTATCGAAACAAAATGTTCACCAATTCTAAAATGAAAATGGAGAATGCTAATTTTTGTAGTTCTTGCTAATAAAATTCTTAATGCGCTCTTCTCCCATTATCATCAGATTGTTATGGTTTACTTTAGCTCTGGAATCTTATTATTTTCCCCAGAATTCATGGGCGTTTCTTATCTTCAAAACTATTCTTAACTTCAAAACTTCATCTATTCAGATATTCTTCTATCTTATCTTTATCCTCGTAGTTAGTATGAACATACCTTTATTATCCTACTTCTGGGTTTGTAAAAAACAAGTGGCTATTGATCAAGAAGATGAAGATGAGGCAGCAAAACTACTGGAAGCACTGGGTAAGAGTCTAAAGGAGAAATTAAGGGTTTATAAATACCAAAAATCTGATGGATGTCAAAGTAATGCAAAGCCATTTAAAATTCAGCAATTCCAGTAGTATTGAGAAGTGCCAGCCTAAATTGCTGTGTTGTAAATGCTGCCAATAATATACAGAGCTGAGGCCCTCTTGATACTGGTAAAATGCAGGTCAAGTGCATACATCAAATGTTATGTGGTTTGGGGACAGGTGAAGTATAATCTGACTGTACAGGAACCAGTCTGAGCACTCTGCCTCATGCCTGAGCGTACTTAAAAACAGGGTTCAGTGAGGGCTACAGGGCTGCTCTCCATTCGTAAGCTGCTTTTCCCTATGGAAACATAAATAATCCAGGATGATTTTTACCTCATGCTGCACTTGCAGAGTGCAAAGAAGGCTGCAGTGTGTGGCCCGACCTTTGCACGTGTGCAGTGGTCCCACTGACCACAGAGCCAAGGTGCAGACAGAAACTCTTAAACTTGTCCCAGGGTGTACTACCACTCCCTCACAGTGTCATTCACAGCCACTGCCTGCCTTTGAACTGGTCACTACAGGAGACAGTACTGTTAGTCATAAGGCCCTGAAGCCTGTCTGAATGTATCTAGGCAGCAATTTAACACGAGGAGAGAATCGGAACTGTCAAGAAATTCTGTGAATTTGACTTCTGAAATCCCAGATGTTTCTTCTGTCCTTTCCTGGGATGGCAGCACAAGTCCAGTAACAAGCATGTCATTAAGAAAGACTGAAACACCTTTAAGCTGTGCACCCCCACACCGGAATTCACCTTGTATTTCCTTTTGACATGCAGCCAAATAAGTTGACTTCTCCTGGAATAACCTGAGAGCTGGCAGCAAGGTGGGAGCCAGAGCAGTGATGGATGGCTCAGGCAGCTGGAATCCTTCATTTTCAAAATGAAATGGCTCCATCTCCTTTAAGCCATAAAGACATGCAAAGCACATGAAGAACAGCCATGAATCAGGGCAACTTTGCTGACAGCAGGCTCTCTGGTCCAGACCCTTGCTCCTGCCGTTAATCTTTCTTGCACTGACCCAAATGCTCACAGTGGCTTTTCCTCACCCTCTCTGTTGAAAGCAAACTGTTAAAATTGCTGCCAAGGTGAGGAGGAGAGGACAGGGCAGCCTGTGCGTCAGGGGATGGAATCGCTGCCAAAGGGAGAACATGCAGCCCTTGTCCTGCTTGAGCACATTGCTATGGCAACCCCAAGCTCTTCGATGCCCTGATGCCATAGTGAAACCTTTGGCTTGTACTGGCTGTGAGCAAAGTGTTTTGAGGCCCTCAGCACTATTCTTTTTCCCCACACCACTGAACTTGGACCACCAATGAAGTGCTGTGTGGAGGATTCCTGGAGACATAAGCTTCTCTGGTTTGGGTTTTGGGGTGGGTTTTTCATTATAGCAGTTTTTGCTGTAATGTCCACACATTGCTAGTACAAAAAAAGACAACAGAAGGATAAAAGCTAATTAGAGCTGTTGGCAAAAAATGGTGGAAGCTCTCTCCACGCTGGCATTAGTTCACTTGACATGTGATTAATGGTGGTTACTGTGGGCACAACCAAAGTTTGCACAACCCTAGATAAATAATATTGAAGTTTAAAAAGATATATGCTCCTTGCATTAATAATTTTAACGGGCTGTGAGAAATGTTGCTGTTCTCATGGTAACAGGAAAGCTGTAATTTTATCTCTAATTTGAGAATGCTTGTATAATGTGTGCAGATAGCCTTCTGATGGGAACTTTCTTCTCTCTTCTTTAATTGAAGCCTTTCTAATGAAGCGATATGATCATGTAGTTTGGGCAAATAATTCAAACTGGGCTAATTAGCACTCAAGACACCATTGAAAAGTGGAGTCAGAACTATTTGGAACTAAACTGGTTGCAGCCCCCGGTTTCTGTATCAATAGCTGCCTGATCTTGATGTATGTGGGCATCTCTCAGGGCTCTTCAGGATATTCCAATCACATCTGCATTTCCCTGGAGGTTGCATTTGTAGAGTTATATTCATTAGACGAGAAAGAAACATCCACTGGTCCTCAACTCTGTACTATAAACACGTGAGGTCACTATTTGAATAAACACCTCAAGAACCAAGACTCTCAGAGGTCAAAACAGCCCAAAGATTTGGACAATCCATTTTTTTCTATCATGGGTTTGACTCAGATGTTGAGGTACACAAAGATACAGAATCATAGATAGAGAGTCTCATCCTTTCCATAGTAACCCTCTAAAAATACGAATAAGGCACCTAAATGTGCTGCAGGTGCAGGACTGAGAATTACTTTCTTAGAAAAACAGCAAGAATTAGGCCTGTGATTCCTTTGCACTTTCGAAAGTATTATCCATGGTTCTTTTCAGTTTCTTACAATGCCTTAGTCATGGAAACCAACTGACAGCACACAAAATGAAAGCATTTCTGCTAGTTGTACAAAAGCGCCTCCATTGACTACTAATCTTAACCCATCTCCATTGCTCACTTTTCCTATTAAAGCTCTATATTCAGATTTATTATTCTCTATCTGTTCAAGAACATTTAACTGCCTGTTACTGGGGCAGTACCAAAGCAGTTTTAAAGCACTAAGAGATATGAATTAGTGCTTTGCTTGTAGGAAAATGCAACCATGCCCCAGACAAATGTGTACAGGGATTGAGCCAGGACCTCAGCTACCCAGGGTGGGGAGTGGGAATGTAGGTGGTTTGATGAGCCTCACTCACCAGAGGCAGCTGGAGCTGAGCCTAGAAGAGGAGGAAAGTGCCATTTTCAGCTTCTTGTTTTTATCTTCCAGCACGGAAAGACTGACGTGTGATGAAACACACAAGTTTCACAGCCAGCTTTTCAAAGGCTGTGTTACTTCAGAATCATTAACCTGGCTGAGATCTCTGAATTCTTCTCTGCTTTGTTGGATATTTTCATAGCAATGATTGGTGGTGGCTTGAACATCCTTAAAGCTGCAAAGCTAGCATTTTAATTTATCCTCATTCAGAACCTAATTGTCTTGCACTGTTGGCTAATTAAATGTTCAAAGAAGTGATAAATTAAGCAGGTTGATCATTACAACACAAGTAATTAGTCAGTCCAACTGAATCTGAGCCTTGAAATCCACATTCCCTGAGATGACAGGAATTCTGGGGATGTGCAAGAAAGCAAAGAGTGTGTCAATGTTGAGGAGGAAAAAACTTCCCTGAATATTTCACGTGTAGTGCCCAAATCTCACACAGTTTGGGGCTGAACGACCTGCTCTAGTGGAAGGTGTCCCTGCCCACGGCAGGGCGTTGAAACTGGATGATGTTAAGGTCCTTTCAAACCCAAACAAGTCTGTGATTCTGTGATTTTCAGGCTGATTATTTTGTGCATAAGGAAATCTCTTTCTGGTGCCACCGACAGAAGATGAAGTTCCAAGATGGCACCTAGCTAGTTTCCTACAGGATCCGACATCTCCCTGTGTTAGACACATGGAATGTACTTTGTGAAATAGGTACAAATGGCTTTTTTTTAAATACAAATAAACCAAAGCACAAAACCTCCAACCCTCCCAACAACAGTTACATACCAAAACAGGCAGTTATAAATGGAATATTCCCTGGTAGGGAGTTTTCATTCACAAAGGTTTCTTACAGTGTTTTGCTAAAGACTCTCCCTGGGGTCAAATTAGCAAAGATCTAAAGACCCAAATGAATGTTCTGAAAATCAGTCTCTGTGTGCAGCTGCTCCAATTCTCAATACAGCTTTCTGCCAGAAAAACATATCCATACCATGCATCATCACAGCAGCTTGATACTCTTCCTGCTAATATATCCAAGTGCACTGTAGCCCTCCCAGGTGTCCAGCCTGTAGGAAGGCGCATGTCTATGGAAGAGGCATGCTGGCACACTGTCCAGAACCACCACATCACTGGTGACTGACTGGAACTACCTGGGGATGGTGTGCCTGGGACAGGACACCCCATCGTGCAGCTGAAAACAGAAAAAATAGCAGAGGCACTGGGATTGTTTAATTAAAGCATGTGGGTATCTTATCTAGGAGCTCACCTCAACAGTGAGGCAAGCATGGTGCTTGGCTCCTGGCTGTGAGAGAGAAGGATGCCCCAGAAGCAATCCTTGGTGTGATCCTGTGGAGTGCTGCCTCCCTCCTAGCCTGGCTGTTACAAGTCAGACTTCACCCTGCCTTGCTTCCATCCTGCTGATCCTCTCTACAGGTTCAAGTCTCAGAATGGTTTTTACCAAAACTAAATTAAGTGACTGCACCATCTCCACACACAGCTCTCTCACTTCATTTTCAATCATATCCCTCACTGTTCGGTTCATTAACAGTTTCCTTCTCTCATCCTTTGCATTTAGGACAGCGAGATTTGAGGTTTCCCATCTTCTGCAGTGGAAATAACAAATAATAATTGCTAGAAGTGGCTGTCAAGGGTGAATTTCAGACACAGGCTTCCCACAGGCTGTGTTTTCTCACCTATCCACAGTGCCTGTGGTGTGGGACCAGCATTTAGATCATTCTCATAGAGCTGCTGCAGCAGCCACACTACTCTGTCTTCTTCTGCCTCTTCTAGAGGTGATAATAAGTTTTAAAGGTTTTCTGCTTGTCTTCTCACTGCCACGAAGAAAGCGTCTAGGTCATGGCTTTCAGTTTATCTATTTCCTTGTGTAGTGGGTTATAACTTATTTCCTGAACACAAAACTCCTGCTTGCTTTGCTGAATCAGCTGGTATTTCATATTGCAAATGATACTCTTAAAATTAAAGCTCCTAAAACATTCTAATTCCTTTTGTTTTCCTGTGCTCTAATTGGTCTAGCTGGATTATGTTAATTATTTCTGATCAAAACTGCTTAATTAGCATGGCAGGTCAATTAGCGAGGGCCTCTGGGCTTTAACATAGTTACTTTAGGTTTAGTTTTAGTTATAGTGTAGGCAATCCATTGTTACACGTTTTATGTTTTTAGAACTATCCATGAATTAATGAAAAGTTAACAGACTGGGATGTAAGAAAATGCTTCATAAGCATCCACCGATATCTTCCACTGGGGATGGCTGGTACCTAAAATGCTTCCTTAATGCTCCATCACTGTAATCAGTCTTGAAAGCAGAGTTCATGGCCTCGCTGCTGGCCCGCAAGGGGACAAGCACCAGGAGAGACATGGACTACCTTGAGGGGTGAGGGTTAGAACAGGGAAAGTTGCAATCACAAGTGTTCTCCCTTCCTGTCCATAAAACGCAGGGATAACAGTAATTTTCCATCTGTGAGAGCCATTTGAGGAACTCTTTGTAAAACACTGAAAGGCTGCTAAATGTGGTTATGTTTTTTTCTTGCAGATAACTTCTTGCAAACCCATTCATAATCAGAGAAGCCTTTAGATTACATTGGCATAGAAGGTGTCAAAGAAAAGCTGCATATAGATTTAAGTCTCCTTTTTTAATATTGTAAATACTTGATTTATTCCTGTGAGTGCAGGTTTACATCAAACCATCTTTCTCCTTAATTGAGCTAATACCTTTACTCCTGTCCTCCTCTTTGTTCAGTCTGGCAAGCAATTTCCCAGCCTCTTCTCCCATCTCGTATATCCACTTCTGATCTGATTATTAGCATTTCATCTTCTACAACATTCAGTGTATGATATTCAAACCCAGACTTATTTAAGGAAGTAATACCTTTTAGTGTGCTGGGTGTCACACGTTTCCTCTGTAAGGTAACAATTTTATCTTACATTATTGCAAGTTATTTGCTCTCCATTTTCATTTCCTTCCTCCCCTTTTTTAACTGGTAGATGACTCCTTATAAGAAGATATAAATGGAAATGCGACTGCAGAATGAAAACTGAGGAAGGCATAAATTTTTATATGAAAAATGCCCAGTGAGCAAACACTGGAGGATTTAACTCGGAAAACCCCAATATGTCTATTTCTTAAGAAGCTTCTCCCTCCAGGTAGCTAGTGGATCCTTCTAGAAAGACTGGATACCCACCCATGCCCTAGCCTTTCCTTACTCCATGCTCAGTTCACTGAAATGATTCCCAAAAGCCAACTCTTCAAACCGAGATCTGGACAGAAACTGTGTGATGCTGTTGCTGTGTGTCTGCATTCATCTGTCAGACAGACAGCTCTCCATGCCAGGCAGTCCAGATCACCTTGTGCACCTCATCTGCTGCTTAC